AGGTATTCAGATGGGCTTGGGGCCTTGGGCTATAATTGCTTGGGTCGAACTGTAAACATAAAAAGTAAAACAAAAATAACCTCCATGTCCACAACACGGAAGATCGATTCTTAGGCTTCTTGCCATTACCATCCTACAAGATTGGTGTGGATATTGTTACACAAATCTTAAAATATATATATAGTTGGAAACATTAGTTCAATGCCCCTTAATTTACTTTACTCATATGTCATGAGTTTTAAAGTCAAAACTTTTTATTTATACTAGAAAAAATTATTACTGAATTACTAATATCGTTAGATTTAATATGTTAATAAATATAGATTATTTTATCAATAATCAATTAATAACTATAGTTTTCTTCTTAACAATTAAATTAAGTAGAATCAATATTTTTAAAGATAATATTAAAAAACTTGCGTCACCATAATTAGTGGCAGAGCCAAAGAGGGGGGGGGGCAAATTTTTTGAAAAAGGAAAATGAAAGAATGAAGCTCTAATAGTGTTTACTAAGGATCAAAATGGAATCTATAAAGTTTTTCTTTTTTTTGTAATTAGTGAATATTTTCTAGTTAACCTTTTGACAAAAAAATTAAAATATCAATTTAAAATGAAAAGGTTTATAATTTTTGTAATAGTAAATCACATCAAATTAACGACAAAAAAAGAAAAAAATTAGGCTTAACGACTCAATAGTTTGTCTTGGGTTAAGCGTAAAGTTTTTATCACTAACTTAGTAAAAAAGAGGATTAAACAGCGCATACAATCGAGCATTCTAAATTAATTTTAAGCACAATAAAGAAAACAATTTAGAGTTTTTCTAGCAAATAGAGGAGGAATAGAGGAAAGAGGAGATGTGTTAGAACTTTATAGATCTTTTGTCATTTTTTGGGTAAAAAATTTGGAATTTTTTTTGACAACCATGAAATTTAGAGATTAAAAAGTATTTTTTATATTTAATAAATTCACTAATTGTCATGCCAACATTAAATTTAAATTTTACTAATAAAACTAATATAACAACCAATTATTTTTTTTATTAATTAATGATGATTATTATTATAAAAGTTAGAAATATTAGTTGAAACAGAATAAAAAATTTTAAAAAATATATGTCTTATATTACAAAAGATTTATCATTGATGATTAGCAGTAGAATTTATGATTAAAATTTTCAAAAATTTGGGATTGTATTGAATTGTTTTCAAAAGTTCAGTGGCCCCACTGTCTTCACTTAGCTTCGACCCCTACCCTGATTGTTCTATGTAACAATAAGAGTGCCCTACAAAACGGAGGCAAACACTATTTGGCAAACAGAAACAGCCTAACTTTGGATTTGATTCCCGATTAGACGTGTGAGAGATTTGACTCTACGTCGGTGACCCAACAACATTAACATCTTCAAAAGAAAAAAAAGGGTACAACGTACGAGGGTTCAGCTTCACGCCGCAGCCTGTGCCAGAGGTCTGGAGCTAGCTCCCCAAGTACGAAGACACCTACACCCCAAAATACCCACTAGACAAAGACTAGTCAAATATTACCGCGGTCTAGTCACCGACTTAATCACCGCGCCTAACCGCCGTTGGGTTGAAATCGTCTCTGTTCCGTCATCCGTGACGGAAAGTGATGGTCCCCTCCCCCCCCTGAACACGTGGTTTCATCGATATGCGTTTCAAAACAAACAGAAAACAGGTAATGCATTTCCTCATTTTGCCAATCCTTATGAAGCCTTTCTTCGATTGGGCAATTTCTTTCCATTTTCAGCTATGCATCCCACCTTCTCCTTTCCTTTTTCCCCATTTCCATTATTACCATAATGGAGCAAGAAAACTGAAGAGCTCTGCAGGAAAAATCTCGGATCGGAATGGCTCGAGGGAAGATCCAGATCAAGCTCATTGAGAACTCCACGAACCGGCAGGTTACCTATTCTAAGCGTCGAAACGGTCTGTTCAAGAAGGCGAGCGAGCTGACCGTTCTCTGCGATGCTAAGGTCTCGCTTATCATGATTTCCAGCACGGGAAAGCTCCATGAGTACATCAGTCCCACCGTCACGTATGAATTTAAGTCCTGGATTTCTTGGAGTGCAAGTTTCTTGTTCTTTAAAATTCAAGAGAATGATCGATTCTTTTTTTTTTTTGGAAATTTTTGCAGGACAAAGGAGTTATTTGATCAGTACCAGAAGACAACGGGGAAAGATCTCTGGAGCACTCACTATAAGGCATCTTTCTTATTCAGTTTAGTCTATGCGTATGTATACATATTGTTCAGTTGTTTCAGAGCTTAACATGTAGAGTTATATTGATGCAGGCTATGGAAGAGCAATTGGAGAAAGTGAAAGAGGTGAACAGGAAGCTGAGGAGGGAAATAAGGTAAGGGGAGAGAGGTCCTTCTGTGCTTGGTTTATTTGATTTACGAGATGCAATCTCTGTTTTTTTTTTTATTTTTTGATCGACTGTAGGTATTGATTTTAATGGATATTGATAGGCAGAGGATGGGTGACAGCTTGAATGATCTGGAATTCGAGGATGTTCTTCATCTGACCGAAGACTGTGAGGCTTCTTTGAAGCTCATTCATGATCGAAAGGTTGACGACTGCTGAATATCGGGTTCTTATAATAATTTCAATTATTGATCACATATATAAATCCTATATAAGGTCTTAATTACTAGCTAGATCTAGTTCCCGTTTGGTCCAACAATATATCTTCTTTGCTACGGAAGGAATTCTTTCAGATTTAGGAGATATAAGTATAAATGCATTAATTAAGCACCCACATTTGAAGAAGTGCTTCTTTGATTTGTCATTTATGAGCTTTCTGAGTAACTACGGTGTTAGTATTCTGTGGCAATTTCTGTTTTTGGCATTAAGGCATGTGCATGGTGCTTAGTATTAGTAGCAGTTAGCTAAATGAGTGCATAACATCATCTTTCCTGCTTTGAGACTTGGAAC